AACCAGGCAAATAAAAATGTATAATTTGACCATTCACATTCTTCCATTCTTCAGTTTTTTCAAGGACAAAGTTACATGCTCAGCCCTCAAGAGACACAGGACTCAGATCCAAGTCATTGCTTTGTAGCCAGARCTAACTTCATCTAAGTGGGGAGCAAAATATTTTGACCTTTGGCCAAAACATAGTGGTGTTTGATCTTTTTTTACCCCATTCATCTAGAAATCACAGTCATTGAAACAATTTCTGATCTCTCACAAAATCAGCAAGTTATAATATTTTCTTGCATTTTACATGGTTTCTGCATGAAATAGTACAATGTGAGCATTAACTTTTCTTGGCATTTAACTGGATGCACTTTCACACACTCAAGCCTTCGTATTATTTGAAGGTCAGATTTAAATGGAAAAGGCAAATGTGTATCAAAAAGACTGCAGTAAGTCAGAGGCTCCTTCTGAACCACTGTATCTTAAAAATATATAACGTTCAAAGTCTYGCCAAGACAAAATCTTATTGGATACCTTTCCATGTGGCCGGCAGGAAGGAGCTGCTACATTGGGTTGTTCGATTATTAAAAAATTATGTGACTTTAATAGTCAAATATTCACTCAGGATGAAATGTGCTCCTAAACATGAGTGGATAATGTGAGAATCATTTCATCTATCTGCCTTTTAATTAGACACCGATGGACAAGCTGGCTGTTGCAAGGTGCTCTATAATCAGGTTACCCAAACACCAGCCCTTTCCTGGATCGGCATTTACAATTGTATGAGATAGCTATGGATTGTTAATTGTCACTGTTTCTTCTTCTATTATTATTATCATCATCATCATCATCATCATCATCATCATCACCATCATCATTTAAGGAACAGGCAATGTGCCCCATTGCAATTTTGCATGCATGTCTGGGAAAAAAAAACGTAGATGACATAAATCGCATGCATAATCTCAGGAGACAATCATTTTAAATCTTAATTGGCTGCCTTTTAAATATCATTTAAGGTCTCGTTTTCTCTGCCTCTCTCTCTCTAGTTAAGAAGGTGTTGTGTCAAAGTCTATTACCTTGCTGGACGTCTCGCCTCTAAGTTTTTTTAAAAAAATAGAACCATCAGCAGAGGTTTGAGAGGTCGATAAAGCTTTTAGATTTGGAGATGTTTTCAGGGAGCCCATTTCCTGCGGCTAAGAGTTGTTAATGGAGCTTAAGGAATTATCTTATGACTCGGGCTGGGAGAGCCGTATATTTCTTCGCTCCTGTTCCCTTGTCGAGGCTGAATATGCTCCTGTCAAACTCGCTTAATGAAAAGTAACGCGTCGCTGATTACAGTTTTATTTGGGCTCTATGTAAAAAGCACTGTTAATTTAGCATCCCCTCCTTTGTGTGTTTGAATTTGCCATGGCTGAATGATTTAGAGTCTCTCAGTTTCAAGACGTTTCTCTATGATTTTTTTTCCCCCTCCTCTTTCTTTCTCAGTCTGCCTTTATATTTTTGCTTTGTACAGGCATACGAGCTGCACGGCTTTCCCTTTCAGCCCTGCAGCTTCTTCTAAAGCAGCTGAACCTGATCTTTGACTTGTGCTATTGAATCAAATGGCAAAATTAATTTCTCACACGCTTTTGTTCACACTTCAAAAAATAAATAAATCAAAACAACAAAACAGCAAGAACCCCAACCCTTTTGAAAGACCTCTGCATTTCATGGCTGATCTAAGTCATAAGGTTTGTGTATTAAAGCAAGAAACTGTTTTCCCTCCCCCTTAACTGACACAGTCCCCTCTCAGGATGGGCAATGKTTYGGTGTGAGAGCACAAAAGCACAGASAGATTTACCAGAYCCGAGATACGGCCGGTTCCCTGGTCCAGAGAACCTTGCTCTTGTTATACAGCAGTCATAAACTTACTGAAACTTGTTTTATAACAACAATAACATGAAAATGAAGGGATAAAGGGTTGATCCGCTTTTCTTTTGCCCTCTGGTATTTCAGTGCGCCTGTGTTTTGCCCACAGTGTTATCACCTTCATTTTAAGTCCGGAGGAGAGGAGGAGGGGGAGAGAGGGGTGGGTGTTGCCTCCCAAACAATGGGATGTCCAAATTGCATCCCGGACCTAGCCGAAGCCGGCCAGCAATGACTTGTAAAATGACTTATATCGRCTTGCGGGATCACCCGCCGGGAGCCAGCCCAGGGAGGCCGGCGGGGGTCGGCGCTCCACAAAGTCAGGGAGCTTTTCAGGCTGAGAGAGATATTTGGCTGCTCGGTGGACGAGACCTCTCCTTGCACACAGGCACGCATTCGGCTGTCGCTGTGTTAGGAGGAAGAATGGAGTCCCCTTCCACTCCACAGAGCCTCTGTCGCATGGAAACCGAAGACCACCGGGAGCCCCCGTGTCCCCTCCAGTGTCTGCACATCCAGAAAGACTGGCACACACAAGCCTCCCGCTTTAACACCACCATCGCAGCAGTCGGAGGGGTTTATGCCCCATCCCGCTWGACTCTACCAATGGTTTGAGGGCAGCCCGAACACTCGCCTTTCTACCCTTCCCTCTCCCTCGCCCCCTTCATCCCCTTCTCTTTAGTTTGGATGAAAATAATTTGCTTTGTCTAAAGGGTTTCAGAGGCAAAGCTCGCCGGCCGCCCCGGCTGCATTAAAATTCCTGCCGGCCCAGCCTTTAGCTCAGATCGCGGCTCCCCCGAGACTCCACTTTCGCTATTACTGTCAAGTACCCTTGACTCTTTATTTTTGCCCTTTTATCTATTACAACTAATTCGAGTTCTTTTGCCCTTTTCAGTTTAAGACGTGGGCTTTCTGTAAAGCCTCCCCCTGCCACCGAGCTCTCCGGGTGCAGAGCCTTTAGAAATTGAGGGGTTTACTGTCAAAATGAAAATTTCACTTCAAATTATCTCGGCTGATGCACGTTTTCCAGGCCGGGGGCTCCTGTCTGAGCCTTTTGACAGCCAGATCAGCAGAGGGGTTCAGTGATCTCGATAATATCATCCAAGAGAGCGAAAGTCAATACAATGACAGGGAATATGACTGGATACAATCCAATTACGGCTGCTCGCAGAGAGGGGAAGGGCTTGATCTGATCTCCGCACCTGGATTCCTTTATTCAGTCCTTGCACTAACAGGTCTCGCTAGAAACTTCGCAGGCTRGAGTATGTTATATTTTGGCTGAGTGTTGTCTTGGTTGCTTTTATAGTTGCCTTTATATATTTTCCCCCTTTATTGTATTCTTATTTATTTATTGTGGAGGGGAGTGGGCAGGCAGGGAGCCGCTGGGGTGGGATGGACGAGAATGCCGGGAGGCAAGGAAAGCTCTTCTGCTTGTCCCGGTGTCATCTCGGTCCTTCGGGTGTTCTCGGTCCTMGCCCGCAGCGCCGAAGCTCAAGGGTTTTGGGCTGGCCCGGGTAAACCGGGCGCTGTTATTGCCTCGGAGTTTCTTTTCCAGAAGTTCTTCCTGTCTCCCGGTCCGGGGATCAGTAAAGTTTGTTCCCGATGCGGGRAAGGAATGAAATCTTTTAAGCGCCTGTTATCTAAGCAGTAAATTGGCTGCGAGTGCTCCTGAATCGCACGTCGAGAGCGCTCTTTCTCCCTCTCTCTTTTTGTTGGCTGCACTCTATTTAATGTCAAAACGGTAAAGCATCTGTACTGAAGTGCTGAAATATTCATGGCGGATCAGCGATTCTCCGCACYGGCAGAGGAGCTGGAAAGCTAAAACGGTTCTTTAAAAGATCAAATTTTCCATGTGAATCAATTGCTCCGCGCACGGCGGAAACGACGCCGCGGCAGAGCCCGGCCCTTGGGGGCCGACCCCCGCCCGCCCGCCCGCAGCTCGGGAAGGAGGGGAGGGGGAGAGGGGATGCTCCCGCCCCGCCGGGCCTCGGGGGGCAGCCGGGCCCCCCACYGTCGGCCCGGGGCCCGGCGCTGCCCCGCGGAGGCACGGCCGGCTCAGAGCACAGCCCAGGATTCCTCCTGCGGGCAGCGTGCCTCCCGTGGGTCCGTCCTCAGTCCCGCGGCAGCGCTGCGCTGAGCCTCTGTTCCCCTCTCCCGGCAGCCTGTTGACAGTCCTTGAAATTACCGGGACCGGCTCCGAGGGGGAATTGGAAGCATAAAAGTTGTTTGCTGCTCAATGCAAAACGCCACCACTTGTGTTACCTCTGAAACAGACAATTTATTGGAGTGAGCATACCTTTTAACATATTTTTTTTTGTCAAGATAAATTTGTGCAGTAGGTGTAAACTTAGTAGAAGTGCTGTTTGTGAATTATATGCTAACAAGGAAATCAGGAGGAAAAACTCTGGGAAAGTCTTTATAACTAATGTCGGCATGCCTTAAATTAAATCTGAATTAAATTTCCCGTTTGTAAACTTTTGGATGTAAACTTTTTAAGTAGGTCTACGCTATAGTACGTGCTTTTKGGACATGGAATTAAATAACTTTCACGACATTGATCCCTTAAAGTCGCAGCCAGGAGAAAATGTTCAGAACAGCTATGAGCATAGTCTTTCTGTTGAACTGAGCAAACTGAACTTTAAATCCTCGTTTACGTTGTTTGTTAAAAAAAAAAAAAAGAAGATGAAAAAGTTTTATATTTCAATTTAAACTCTTGCAAGTCTCTTTTCAGTGTAGCTGACTCTTCAAGCGTTAGAAAGTCCTTTGCCCCTCAGCGGGCCCGTTAGGAACAAAACATTTTGCTTCCTGATTTGGGAAACGCCAGAAACTCTTTGTTTGAGTCATGGTGGGCCAGGTTTGAGAGCTGCCCCTTGAGCAYGTTGGCGCCGTTCCCCACCGCGCGTCCCAAGGCGCCCGTTTCCAGAATGGCTCCTTTGGTGGTAGCCCAGGAAACTGTCGTGTTGCTCAGGGCTTGGTTTAAAGTACTGTGCCTGAACAGGGGGTCGTGAAACACCCCATCCACCCAGTTCCTGAGGTTGGTGACCGGCGAATCCTGGTGCCTGTCGATGACGCTGACCGGGGCGGGAGCGGCGGCGGCGGCCGAGCCCCCCGGCCGTTTCAGCATGCAGGAGGGGTACTCGGCCTGGTTGAGGGAGGTGGCGGTGTGCGCCAGGGACCAAATCCTGGGCTTCGTCTCCAGCAGCTGCTGCCCCTGCTGGAAGCACATCTTAGACTCGCAGCCGCGCTGCCGAGCGCCCAGCGGGTCGGGGCCGCACTCCTCCGCCGAAGTCTTGAGGCAGCTCCGCGCCCGCTCTGCCGCCGCCGCCTCTTCCTCCTCCTCCTCCSCGGCGGCGGCCGGCGGCGGCATCTTGGCTGTGGGCTCGGCGGCCCGCGGCGGGTGGCTGCCTCCCGGGAGCGAGAGCGGGTGCGGATGCGGGAGCGGGTGCGGGAAGGGCCGCCTCAGCTCGCACTCCGAGCTCTCCGACTCGGCGGCGTCCAAGTCCTCCAGGTCGCTGAGCTCCAGCTCCTTCTCCTCCTTGCCCGTGGGTTCTGCGGGGCGGGGGCGGGGGAAGGGACAGCAAAAACAAGACACACGGTCACTGTCGGCGCCGCGCTGCCCCGCGGCCGCCCCCACCAGCGAGGCCCGCGGCCGCCCCCACCAGCGAGGCCCGCCCCGGGGGCGAGCTGCCGGCCGAGCCCCCGCGGCCGAACCGCTAAGTGCCTGGTTTTAGCAGGGTACCCTCGGCTTTCCCGCTCTTCATCGCCTCTTCCTGCGAACCCTCCTCCTCCTCCTCCTCCTCTTCCTCATAGGGCCGCTTCTCGTCAGAGCACTTGTTCCGCGGGGGCCAGGTCATCTTGTTCTCCTTCTTGAGCCGCCGGCGGGCGTTGGCGAACCAGGTGGAGACCTGGGTGAGGGTCATCTTGGTGATGATGGCCAGCATGATCTTCTCGCCCTTGGTGGGGTAGGGGTTCTTGCGGTGCTCCTGCAGCCAGGCCTTCAGCGTGCTGGTCGTCTCTCGGGTGGCGTTCTTTCTCCGCGTCCCGCCGTCCATCGTCCCGTACCTGCAGGCACAGAGGAACCCCCGAGATGTGACACCTCTCTGTCGCCCCCCGCGGGGTACCCGGAGCCCCGGTCCGGGCCGCTTGCCTACGGCACCCCCTGGGGGGCGGCTGGACCAGAGAGCGGGAGATGGATGAGGACAGCTCGGTTTTAAGAGGGATGAGGACAGCTCAGCTTTTTGAGTGAGACCAGCCTCGAGAATTCAGGCCGAGGAAGGAAAGCAAGAAGGAAGGGTTCAGCTAGCAGCAGCACCGGGCAATGCAAATTCCCGGTCGGCCTTGCAGGTGGCGGCAGAAAGAGAGGGAAGGAATCACCTGCTTTTATTCGCAGTATAGTTAATGTCAACATTTTGGACGGCAGGGAAATCCTAGCAGCTTGCAAACTCACAGAAATACCACTCTCCTCTCCTTTGATTAGTCCTCCCCAAACAATTCAACTGGGTGACCCCAGGGTGTAAGTGTTAATAGAAATATATTTCCTCTTACTTCTTTTATTAGCAATCTCCTCTACCCCTTTGTTCCTGAAACTGTAGGAACCTAACGCAGATGACACTGGGCTGCGACTGAATATTTAATGCACATCCTCCAGGAAAGGTCACCGGCGCCCAATGGGCCTCTGAGCTGGGAACGGTGTGTGAGGGGRTATGCGCTGGTTTAAAACTGATAAATATACACGGGATGCCCAAGCCTGACTGCGCGCAGGAAAAGATAATTACCGCCCCGGCTAAGAGGGATCGCCCCCCGCTCTACCGCCCGCCCGGGGGGCGGAGGACCCCGTGTTGGTGTGGGGAAGGGGAGGCGACATGGCTGAGGCCGGGAGATGCTGAGCGGCTCGGAGGCAGGTTGGTGGGGCTGGCGGGGCGGGGAGGGGCGGGGAGGGGATGGCGGGGAGGGGGTGGCGGGGTTGGAGGGCAGCGAGCGGGGCCGGGGTGGGCATGGCGCTTACCTGTCGTATTGGTACTGGCTGAGGGTGTGATCGTAGGGGTAGTAGGCAGCCGCCGGGGCGATGCYCGCATGCGCAGAGCCGCTCCCGTCCTTCGCTTCCAAACTGTTCTGCAAGAGACACCGCCCGCCGCCCTCAGCCCCCGCCGCCGGGAGAGCCCGGCCCCCGCCCGGCACCGCCGCCCGGCTCCCCCGCCCCGCGTCCCGGAGCGGCGCGACGGACCTTCCCGGGGCCCCTCGGCCGCCGCGACCGGCCACATCAATAGGGACATTAACTCTGGCTGTTACGGTGCAGGGAAGAAAAAAAAGGAAAAAAAAAAAAAAAGAAAAAGAAAAAGAAAAAAGGCTGTCTGGGAAAAGCGCATCATTTTTTTGCTAGCCTGGGTCTGRGTCGCCCTAAACTGCCCACCCGGACGGGCCCTCCGCACTCGGCCGCCAGCTCGTCAGGCGCGACTTTTAATTGCGTTACCGTGAGGAGCAAGCGCCGGGCTGGAACAGCTGCTGACCGCGGGGCTGGACGCGGGGAGCGCCGTGCGGCACGGCGGGGCGSAGGAGAAGCGCCCAGGGCAGGGGTCCCGCCGAGCCGCCTCCGCCCCCGGRGACACGGGGGGAGCGCGGGGCCGGCGGGCGGGAGGGAGCGAGCATCCCCCGGGGGGCTTACCAAGGAGTAGAAGGCGGGAGCCTCGGTACCGTAGGTCACGTAGTTTCCATAGCCCTGGGGCCCGGCGTAGGGTCCGCCGTACACCCCCAGGGCGGCGGCGGAGTTGAGCTCGTGTCGGGCGGTAGCGAGSAGGCGGCTCTCGTACACCGGGCAGTACACGGGGGTCTGGGCGGAGGCKGCGGCCCCCGTCTCAGCCAGCGTCCGGCTGCTGGACTCGCAGCAGGTCGTCAGGGAGTTGGTGCTCATCAGGAACTGGAGAGAAAGAGAGCGGCGCTGAGGGCGGGTGGGGGAAAAGGGAGGGATCTTCCCAAAGGGTAGGCAAGTTTGGGTTCGGTTGGTTTTGGATTGTGTGGTTTTGGTGGGATTTTGTTTGGGTTTGGTTTGGGGTTTTTTTTCAAATCAGGTCGTAGCTTTTGGGTGTCGCCCGCCCTCCTCCCTCCCCTTCTGTATTTTACTTCAATCGTGAGAGACACGCTCTGGAGAAGCACAGCGGCGCAAATATTTTATCAGTTTTTTAAAACGACTCCGCAACAAAAACAACCACCAAACGCCCCGTGACTGAGGGCGTTTAATCCTCTATAACACATTCCTCGGGCCCTCTGCATTTAAAAGCTAACTTTTCCAGGGGTGTTTTGACAAGACTGGGGTTTACACCGTTTTCTCCTCTTGCATCACAATGATTCCCATCTGCGTTTTTAAACCTTTTTTTCGAAGTCACTCATGCATATTTATTTTGACTGCAGATTTGTAGCAGCCACGCACGCATCTGTTATTAACCTGCTGCTTTAGAATATCCCATTCTGTTTCTACGGGCCGGACCTCCATACGCCCGTGTTTAATTGCTAAACTGTGAATTTAATCGTTAAAAAGGAAAAAAAAAACGGGAAGGGAGGGGGAGTACGGGTGGATGTTAGGGGGTCTCTAGCTCCCCTTCTCACCTCTCTCATCTCTGTAAACCTCCCCCACGCGTCCTTATCACCCCCAAACACCCTAAATCCCGCGTGTTTCTTCCCATTTTAAAATTGGTGCGCAACACAGAACTTGGGCATCTTGGAAAGCTGCGGAGCGAGAATCTGCTTTGCTGCTACCGCACGCGGGAGAGGATCGCTGCCGCCCTCATCCCGGACGGAAGGCATCAATAAAGACTGAAATTCAATCAACTAACGTTGGTAGGCAAAAAAAGTCTTACCTGGGGTGCAGAGGAGTAAGGGTAGCCAAACTGAGGATAGGACATGGTACAGAGGCTCCCAGTTATCTAGAAACAAGGCGAGACGTCTGATCTGCACGCTATTGCAGCCTGGCTCTGCTCTGTTGTACCAATTGATTGGTAACCACAGGTCCCTAGATGCTTATAGGACGAAGCAGAAAACCACATTTAATTTATTTACATGAAAACTTAAACTTTCCTTTTTTTATTTTTTTTTTCCTTTGAAATATGTACGGCGATTTTAGCACCTTCCCCTCTACAGCTACGACACGGAATTAATTGTTACGTGTAGGCTCMGAGGCTGGCAAACGTGAAGGCAAAAATACATACTTTGTACCCACGGAAAAATAAAAGGTGGGAAGAAGGAAAGTGATACAAATGCATCAGCTCACAAGCACGTTGTTTTAAAAGAGCCGAGCCTCTGACGTCACGCAAAACCTACTCAAATTAACCTGCCTGTAAAGTTTAACACTCATTTTCGGGAACCCTTCCCCTGGCATGGAAAACAGACTCTCCAGCATCGCCTTCAGCCTGCCTATCAGGGGCGAAAGTTTGGGAAGCCCGCCGGTAGCGGTAAAGCCTGCTTGCAACACTTTGCATGTATTTCTGCGGGCAAGGGAAGGAAAWGAATGTTTTTAATCTGAAGGATCAATGTTGTATCAGCTATTTTCCCCACCCTCCTTAGTCACTGAAAGGCTAGTAAGCACTTTTAATTAGAAATTAATTAATGAGCAGCTGCTTCTTCCCACCCCACAGTAATAATTAGTCTCAATTACAAACAAGACATATGAAGGGACACACGACTGAGTCTTCATTTAAGATTTAATCAACAGTTAAAATTAGCGCTAGCACTGACAATAAAGCACATGATAAGCAATCCTGCTTTTCTTTTCGGCTTTTATTCCAGACGTGTGATTACAGGTAGAAAACCCTACMAGCGTCTTCCGGGGAATGATGGAAGAGATGTGACTTTTCACRTTAAAACCACTTTGATCCCATCTCAAACTTCCAACGCCCCCTTCTCCCTAACCCATCCCATCGCTGCCATCAGCCTCCCTACCCTCTGGGGGTCTGGGACCCCCCCACACACAAGCAGGCAGCAATCTCCCTCCTCGGAGGGAGCAGGTAGCGGGCCGCCGGGGGAAGATGCGGGCAGCCCCAGCACCGCTCCCCCGACGGCCGGTACCACCGAGGCAGGGCAAGCAGGCAGCCCCCCGGAGGATGGGGGAAGCGGAGGAGTCAGCTCCGAGGCTGAATCTGGTGCAGTCGAACGCTGCTCCGTGGTGTGCAGACTTGCTCAGAGAGATTCCTGGGTTCAGACATGTGAATAGCCCCAGGGTCACACTCTAATTAATGATGATATTCTCTTCTTCTCCCCAGCTGGAAGACTGCCTCCCAGAAACGAATCTGCCCACACTGACAGCTCGATTGAGGGTGATTGATGACTATCTGGAGACCACAGTACACATAATATAATATCTGCTGCGTAATTGCTTTAATTTACAGATGAAAATACTAGTTCTCAGATTGAGTTAGACTACAACGAGAGGCGTTTTATGGCGCTTTAGAGTGTTTGCAAATAAAAGATATCAGATACAGTACATGCAAATTATCCTGACAGCTCAGTATCTGTAGCCGGGAGAAACGTATGAAGAAAGGGAATCAAATGACATAAATAATCGGTTTGGAATTCGGTATTGATTTTTGGATGGGAAGAAAGTGCTTTTTCTTTCCTCACCTGAAATGCTAATTCCTTTTTATTTCTGAGAATATKAATAACTTTGCCACTGGGTTTCTTTTAAAGAAGCTTTCCTCTATTCCTCCTCCTGCATTATACCCCGGTGCTGCCAAGGTATAATGATACTTTTAGCGACTCTTTACCAGCAGCTTTCTTCTGTGCGGCGTGCTGAAGGACTATCGCATTGTTTGGGAAGAAAAGACAMCCAGTGTTTGCACAATGGTCTGCACGCAGTGTTCCGTGCTGCTCCCTCTGCCTCCTGTGCCCATTGCGCTGGGGGATGTTTGTTTAAGCCTGAATAAAACTCACCGGTGCTAGGGAAGAAAATAGTTGCACTTATCTCAAGAGCGGCTCGGTGTAAAGCACTATAATTAGCTGGGAGAGCTGGAGAACTGCCTGAAGAAGTCCTCCCAGTTTTCCAGGCTGCAGTTTGGGAAATGTCCTGGTGTTGTGTATTTTTGGTGGTTTTGTTGGTTTTTTTTTCCTTCCACTGCAGATGTCAACTCCGCAGTGGCCCACAGTACACTACAGGTTTTGATATTTAGATGAGTCTATTAAACTTTAAAATACAAGGAGAAATTCAATATTTATAGTCCTTGTCTATTTATATATCACAGTTGTCTTTCACTGCGCCATGCAAATACTCTGGTGCCCATTTTCGCACTGAACTTTCCTGTATTAATCATGATAATTATTTGTCATTTTTCTTTGCAGCCTGCCTGCTCTATTACTTTACCCCCGGTCAGCTTTGTGTCAGTTCCAATCTGTATTCCCTAGAAAGCAGTCATTAAAAAAAAACCCACCAAAACAAACAAACAAAAAGAAAAAGGGACAAAAAAACTTAATAACCTTAAACACTTAAACGCTGAAAGCTGACACTATGTCCTCCCCCACTGTTGATGTCTTGTTTCACTTACGGTCTACAAATAATGGCCCTTTGTTGATAAGAAACTCAACACAATTATATTTCATCTTGAATTTTTGGTGCCAGAGCACGAACATGCATTAAGCCCCACAATGATTTAAAATAACCTTTGTGGTTCTTGCACATAAACAACGTAACACTGTTCAAATCCAAGCAAAGACGCTTAATGCTGTGGGCTATATCCTTAAGCATTTGGAAAATGCAAGTCTTTGCTGTGCAATAAAAATTGATCCTCGTCAAAGCCCCTTTCCTGTACAAAGCAGTTAACAGCTTTCGAGAAAGAAACACACACACACTGCTTTCTCCAAAGTTTGAGCAAGGAAACTCATTGCRATCAATAGGAAACGCTGGAGAGTTCCCTTCTGGTCAGAACCAGCCTGCACACCCAGGCGAGCAGGGATTTCCCATCCGAAGCCCAACCAGGTCTCTCTCCCAGGGTTATGAGCTTTTCCTCTGAGAACCTGGAGCCAATGCTCATACAAGTTTTATTGTAAAAACATGGAATGAGAATGAAACGCTGTGATGCTGGAACAGGCCACAGCAGGTAAAATAGAACCTCTTCAGGACTCATGCTTTGATGGACGTCTTCAGGGATGTGATCTAGAGGCAGTTAATGCAGCTACACTTACTATCTGCATTTTCATCGCCCTCTCTTTTGGAGGGCTTATTGCCACTCCTGGAAATATTTCAGCAACGGAATTTGCTTATGGGCTAAACAGACTTTAGCGAGCTCTTTCAGTCGAGTTTGCTTTGTTTTTGTGCTACAGACTTAAAGCAACCTTGACACCGCCTGACAAATGCCGTGAAGCTCTACATGTTGCTCATTTGGAATCTGACATGGAACCGAGGGCAGCCTACAGCATCTTCAAGTAGGTTAGCTCCCATAAACTTGCCATTGACAGTAATTACGATTGTTTTTTTTCTTCCTGAGACAATTTGAGGTGAAACTGCACCTCCTGCACTCTGAATCGAGGGACAGTGAGCCGACCTGCACAAACCCACGCCGTGGCTTGGGATTGGCAGAGCCATGATGACCAGCAGAACAGTTGCATAAGAAGGCACTGCTAATTAATTTACTCAGTTTACAACTACATGCAAAATCAGTTGTTCAAAGCTATCCATTTGAATGCTTTCATTTTGTAAGTCTTCAATCCTCTTGGCAAACAATCTAGATTAAAGCAGAAAGGCCTCACATGCTCATTCTGTTCTTTGTATTTATTAACTTTTCACGCTTAAGAAGTAGAGCCAACACTTTCTCTCTCTCTCTCATACACACACACACACACAAAACTTTTCAGCAAGAGAAACAAATGCTGCGACCTGGGCAGCTGCTCTGTGGCTGTAGATGGACCCTACAAAATGCCCACATTTACCTGTCCTATGCAGAACATTGCAACCATGCTTTCACTAGCAATGCAAAGATTGTATAAGCTTTCCTTTCTCACTGTACACCCAGTGCTGCAGACCCACAGGCATTCAGACAACACCACCTCTGAGCTCTCTGGCAGCAGACAGCTTCAACTTACTTCCCTGCAAAGGTAAAACTTTCCTACTTGCAAGGTCAAATTCTGCGTCTTTTAAAGTTCTCCTTAAAATCCAGAAAGTTTGACTCAGTACCTTACCTTAGTGTTCGCTGAATATCATATTCACACTCCCTTCCCAAGAAATAACATACATATGTTAAAATGCATTTACCCTCTGTCCTAGGTAAAGACTGCACAAAGCCAAATGATTCATCACGGATAGTTTCTCTTCCCTCCAGCAGTTGGTTTTCAGCTGCCTTGCTGCTAAAGCAGGCTCCGAAGGAGAAGGGGGGGCAGGGGGGTAAGCCCCACCGCTCCCCTCCACCCCCCGCTTCCGCAGGCACACACACACACAGACACACGCACTCACACACACACACACACACACACACAAGCATCACCACCAAAAGAAGAAATTTTTTACCTGCGATCACGCCAGGCTTCGGCTAAAACCTGGTAGCGATGGCTGTGCCATGGCAGGGCTTCTCTCCTCTGGTGTGCGCTGGCTGGCGTGGCAGGGAGCTGCGGGGAGCTAACGCAGACATGTCTCAGTGCGCGGTACCTGCGCGGCGCGGCACGGAGCCTTCGGTCCCCAGGCGCCACAGCCACTTCACTAACCCCTGTACCAGAGTGACGCTCAAGTGAATAGTTCCACTGATCACACTCTTTCCTACTGATTAACACTTTCCAACACGACCAGGCACTCCACTTCCAACTTTTCCCGTTTTAAAACAGAAGCAGCCAGCACCGCTTGCTTCCGCGGGTTATAAACGCCGTCTGGGGCGTGGGGGACACCATAATTAATAGCAGGTTAGTAAAATTAGTGCTGCCACTCCAATTGTTGTCCTTGTTGCCAACAATAATTGCATTGATTCTGGAAGGACACGAATGTCCTCCATTTAACCTAATGATCTGCGGGTTGCACACGCTGTACGGCAGCCGTGGCGGTGATTAACTGCGCGCACCTCCAAACTATCATTTATCTCCGCGAGTCACGACTGAAAGGCGCTAAACTTACAGGCAACTCTCCCTGCCTCTCTCGCCGTCTTTGTTTCCCTCCCGCTGGAGGAGGCGGGCTGGGACGTCGGCGTCGCCCTGCGCGCAGGAGACGGGCACCTGTACCTGTCCCCTCGGCCGCCTCGGCTTTATTCATAGCCCGGGGGCAGCGCGGCGGAGCCGGGCAYCGCGGAGCTGCCGGGGACCGCCTGGGCCAGCGCCCCCCGGCCGCGGGGAGGGGGCAGGGGGGGCGGCGCGGCAGCCCCGGCACCGGGGACCCGCTCCCTGCAGCGCCCCCGAGCCCGGCTGCGCCACCCGCCCTGGGCACAGCCCCACAGGGGCTGCCCGGGCACCGGGGGCTTCCTCCGGGCGGGGGCGGGGGAGCAGCCGAGCGGGGAGGGGGCAGGCGCCGGCGGCAGCCTCAAGCAGGTCGGGGCAGGAGCGCTTGCTCCCGCTTGTCCTCTCCGTCCTCCTGCTCCCGTCCCTCCGTCCGTCCGGCCGTCCCGCCCGGTCTCAGCCGCCCGCTGCCACTGCCGCTGTCTCCTACGGAGAAGTTATACGGGCCCGRGGCTGGGCGAGCCGGCAGCGAGCTCCCGGTCCGAAATGCTTTTCCCGGTGCGCAGCCTCCCACCCTCTGTCAGAGCCGGGCTCCCGGGGCCGCTCCTGGCTCCGGCCCTGTGTCCGGGGCCGCGCAGCGCCCGGGATCCCCGCGGGAACCTGTGCATGACAAGTTCCACCGCGCSTTCGGTACTTTCTTTGCTTAATTGTTTGTTCAGCAGGAAAAGGGACAAATCGGGATTGACAGAAGGGGGAGGAGGGATCAATATCATTCCTGTTTAAAGGCGTGAGCCTGGGCAGACGTCTCAATAAGACAGAGGAGGARAAAAAGAGAGTATTATATCCTACCTAATTAAGCGAAGACAAAGAGGTGTGGGGAGAAAGGTTCAGCAGAGGTGGGGTGGCAATGGGAATTTTTAATCCGGTGTCTTCCCACAGTAACCACYAAGGCTGAACAGTAACGTTAATAGGGAACATCTGTACATCGACAGATTTATTCTTGCCAGGGCTCTTTCATGCTTGTGTCATTTGCATGGCCCCGTGCTCGTAATGTTCGACACAAGCTGCACCTTGTAGTGCAATGACAGGGTAAATCTGATGAATGCTGAACCTGGGAAAACCTCTTCGCTTTCCCCTTTCTCCCTCCTCGGATTGCCCTTGCAGCTTTCAAGGCGGGGAAACCACATGGAGAAGGAGAACGTGAGCSTTCTCCCCATCTGCACTCGTAAACAGAAAGCCAATCATGCCACGAGCCTCTGCATTTTAAAGCGGAGTAACAAACCCACAGCGACGTGGATGTCCCGGCTGCCCGCCCAGGGCTGCCTCCCCGCCGGGGGACGAGGGCTCTGTGGCTCGGAGGGGGTGTCGCCCCATGGGACCCTTCCACCTCCCTGTCCACCTCAGCCCGGGAGTGCAGGAGGGCTGTGCGCTGTCCCCGTCCCGGCACGGAGGATCTGGATATTTTCTCCCTTCCCCCGGGGATCCTGTCCCTCTGGCGCTGCCCCAGGGCTCCCGCCCCGGGCTGCCTCTGAGCCCGGCCGATTTCCCGGGGCAGCTCCCTGCTTGAGCGGGGGGAGCCGCCGCCGTCCCCCGGGACCCCATCCACCCCCTGCCTGCCCGGCCGAGCTCGTATTTTACACAGCGGGGTGGCACCATCCACCTCCCGGAGGTGACATCTGCCCCTCGGCCCAAATGTGCTTGGAGGGGACCGGGACCCCGCATTTTCTTCCTCCAACCCTTTCCCCGTCCTGGTCCCGGGTGCTCGGCCGGAGGCTGCCACCGCTTTTCCCGACAGCAGAGTTACAGGGCAGGCGCTCCGGTGGGGAGGTGCTTGGGGTTGCTGGATTCATCTGCCTCCCTGCCCTGAAATAAGTGTTCAAGGGCGGAAGGCATCGCTCAAAGAGTGATTTTTTTTTTTTATTAATAGGTGCCACCAGTAACAGTACATTAATATGAGTCTTTTGTAATATAACAACCTCAGGTCCACGAGATCAACATTTTTAATTATTTCAGTGATGCTTAAAGGAAGCGAGCAGATTCGAGTGTGTCTTTTCCAATTTGCTCACGTCGACCCGCACATCTTGGAAATTGCCATCCATTGCCACACTGACCTGCGCAGCAGAAAGCACAGTGGCTTTCTGTCAGAAACTGGCCTAGCCAGGCAGGAGGGTGACCAGGCTGAGTGGAGCTGGGATCCCAGTAGTCATGCATGCAGGTCAACCACGGTGACATGATGGACACTGAGGGAGCACTGGTCACTGATAAATCCAGGAAGGTGCTAGCAACAAGAGCAAAAGCTTTTAGGAAGCGCTCCCAAAAATCCATGGGCCAGAGTCCAAGGCTGGAAGGGCATTTGTAGATCTTGCCTCTTGTCATTTGTAATGTTGTTAGATTTTCTTTCTCCTTTTTAATTTTTTTTTAAAATGAACAATAATGCTAAGGTTTCAACCATTTTTAATGTTTAAACTATTAAAAGGTGCTCTTTTTACTGCGGCAATGGTGTTGTTCCTGTCTATCCTGGCATTCTTTGGCATTCTCTCCCATTTCTGTAGTTAGAGYAATGCCCTCTCTGCTGTGAACAGGCCACTATTAAATGATACCAAGTGGTTGAAATCCTTAATATTCCATGTCATTAGACAAACAGAACTGGTGATAGCACCACATATTTCCATTCAGAAAGGGAATATTGTTCAATTGTCAGTGTCAATTCYTTTCACCACTGTGGCTATATTTTGAAGACCTACTTTCTAAAATATCAGGTTAGAGAAAACAGCAGCTTGAGCTCTTACTTTTCTGGTCTTTATTTTCCTGTAGGGGTTACTAAATCACACCCAGTCAAGGAATAATATACTAATGTGTGTATCATAACTCACATTCACTATGAYGGTCCTAGAAAGACATTAGCTTAATCATGAAACCTCAGATAATTTACTTAACTGGAATAAGTTCTCAGGAAAGCCAATATAATTCAGAATGTAGTAAATACATGGKTAGAAATCAGATTTTCACTGAAACTATTTTTGTCCTCATCTGGTTTGGGTGCCAAGTTATATGGTAGCCTCAGAGCAGCAAGGTTTATCTTAATTTGCAGGGATCCATACAGGTACATTTCTTTTCCTTTTCTCACATTAAATTCATTATATGATGTTCAAAAGACTGATGCACACTGGAAAACCTTTAGGCATTTCTGTGTAACGGGGATGGTTTATTAAAAGGATAGGTTATTACTTTGAACAATGACTTCAGTGTGCACGTTAAAATGTGAAATGTTTATCAGGTGCTGGCCTGTATTGGCCACAATCTGTACAACTAGAYTTTTATTCATAAATGCATGCCTAAGCTGTTAAACCAGTCTCATTTTCAGATCCTCTGTGGTCATCTGAGAGTCTTTTGTAGTCCACAAAAATATCGTCTCACAATAATTTTTTCAAGAATTTTCTAAGCAAGTATTACCATAATTCCATTTGTGAGCTCATGATTTTGAGAAGCTATTTATTTTGTGTTAGAAAAAAAATTTTTATGTGATTGGAGAATTAGCTAAAGCTGTCTTAGTGTGCTCAATATATGGATGGATGGAGAGGATTTTTTTTTATTAGGAAAAGAGTGTAATTTTAAAGCCTTAGAAGCAAAACCAAGGCTCTTGGAAGACCCTGAAMAGGCAGAAGATACCAAGTGAGTCAGTAGCACCAAGCTCTCCTTCCTGCACTGCGTCTCTGCTCGAGCCTGCAGACTTTGGCCAGGTGAGCAGTGCTCCGAGGTGGAGCTCCAGGGAAGCAGAACAGCAAGGAGCTCCTTCCTCTGTGTTACACAACGGAGAGACTCGGGCCAGGGGTGTAATCCCACCAATCTTCCTGGGAGTGAGGAGYTCTGCAAAATGCTGCTCGTGAGAGATCGCTTCTTGCACAAAAGGAATTACAGAAGAGAACTGTGAGTGCCTCAGAAAACAAAGATGCAATTAAAGCAGCGTTTGTAGTTTTCAGTTAGGGTTATCTTTCAATGCAGAAAGAACCATCATTTTTTTCCTGCTAATTATTTTCATTAGCTGTTTTAACTCTTCCTGAGAGTTCTTAATAATTGCTTCAGAGCAGAATGTGTAAAACTGAAAATTATTTATGGCACTGATTAGAACTACAGAATACTAATATGGGTAGTCAGGAATAATTCACCATAGCAGGAAAAGCACTATTTAATTGTTTAATATAGAAGTTTAATTGTGCTTGCATACAATTATCATGTAAATATCACTGTGATCACTTTAAGAGGTTATTTCTAAGTGTGCCAAAATTCTGAAGCAATCTGAAAAGAATTAATTTTTTTTTTTTTTACCTCCCTTCACAAGTCTCTCAAGTGTACTATATGTTTTAACTTAAACCGAAATATAGCCAAAGGCAGACAGGAGTTCCAACAGTGACCAGTGTAATACTCACTGCTTTTAATTACTGTAACAATAAATCACACAGGAATGTCCTCCAGGTACTAAATGATTTTCTAAAAACATTTGAGAATATTTTTGAAATTCAATTAATTGAAGGCACCAGATAAAAGGTACACATTCTTAATGGCTATAAAATAACCCTAAGGGACGTAACTGAGCTCCAAGCTTAACTTCAAAGTGTGACAGAAATACTTACTGTATTACTTTAAAAGTGTTCAGATCAATGAATCAGTTAAAATTACTTATACATTTACCAACCTTTTCATTTTCTTTCTGAATATGATAGAAAGAATTGCTCTCATTTCCCAGGACACAAAAAGCAGTTGAGACCTGTAAAAGAAATTGTAATTAAAGCCAGCCTTCAGTCAAAATTGGTATTATGAATTTTTAGTTGACACAAGATAAAGGGGCCAGCGAAACATAAAAGTGGCTTGATAAAACATACATTTAGACATTTTATACAGAAAATTAACTGGTTTGTGGAGATATTTCAGGGTCTAGGATTAAATCTGTCCTTGTTAAA